GAGGACTTGACTCGCCTTCGAGAAGGAATGACTTCATCTGAACCCAATTTTGTAGCCTTAATTATTTTCAGAAAGAGCAAGTCTCTGAAAAAAAATAATCAGATAAAAAGAAATCTTCAACTCTGGAAGATTCTCAGCAAAACATAAATGGGGCAGCATTACCCTTTCCCATCTGTAGATTGATGTGGATATCTGAGATTACATTTTTTGGTAAACATCCTTGGCAAGCCACTTCATCAGAGGTGTTGCTGTTCAACATCTGAGGTACCTGTTCATCATTCTGGGTCTTTCTATGGCAGGGCAGCACTGACACCTACCTAAACATTTTGAAGACCTAAGATCATTTATCCATTTTCCACAGTGTAAGTGTCTGCACACCCATCAGGGTCCTTGTGCAATCTTGTGTGCCTCCAAAAGCTGCTTCTAGAAGGATGTTGGCTTTAGCAGTATTCTCCTTGGACCTCAACCAGGAGATGAGAGATGGTGACTCTCCTTTTGCTCCATAACTCATTCATATTTCTCACCTGTGAAGATAAAATGCAAATCATGCTCACCACAGACCTCGAATTGAGACCAGACACAACAAAAGACAACACAGAAATGCCAGTACTCTAGGTCCTTAACCTGTGAGTGTGAGTGGTAGTATTTGGGCTTCTGTGGCCAGAATCTGAAAGTTATAAAAATTAAGGAAGATAGTCACAGGGATAGCATCTGCTTTTCTAATTCTGAAGGGTTATTTCTGAGAATTGGGAGCTAACACATGGACTTCTTATTAGGTCAGCAACTTGTCTCCTACTCACTGTCCTCAAAGCCCAGTCTCCCCTACAATGTCACCTCTCAGCTTTTATTTATCCCCGGGGATTACATAAATACAAGGAAAAAAAATTCACACTAATAATAATTCTAGTCAATGTGATGTAGAAATACTACAAAAGTACAGTAATATGGAAAAAACATGATCCATATGATAGAGCAGAATAGAAAATTAGAAATGAACAGATGAAATCATTCTGAACCCATGAGTAGAGGATAGATTTTTTTTTTCAATAGAAGCTATTGAGGCAATTTAATTGGAAATAAAAAAAAAAGTTCAGTAGATCCATTCATAGAATAAAGATTTAAATCGACACTGTAGAGTCTTAGATTACCTGGAAGTTCAGGGGAATTCATTTAAAATATGAGATGGGGATATGTGTGTAGAAAATTTTGCTTGAAGAGGACACTGAAGCAAAAAACCATGAAGGGGAAAAAAAGACTTTTAATATAGAAAATGCCACCGAAATTTTTAAGATGAATCTGTTGGGAAATATATCAAAGGATTCATATTTTATTTATAGAATCAGCCTATGTTTTTTTTAAATGTTAGACTAAGAATCAAGGCAAAAATGTTTTAAAAATTCAAAAACTAAGAAATATAAGTGACCGATAAATAGAATATTTATACCTCAGTAGTATTGGAGAAGTGACTATATGTCATGTTTCACCCATGAATTGATGATGGAGGGAAGAGACATTATTCAGTACTGCTGTTAGAGGTTTACATTGGGAACACCCTTCTAGGACATTTGCAAAATGTTTCAAACACCTTTTCAAGTGGCATACATTTCAACTTAGTAATTTCACTTTAAGGATTTTGTCAAGCAAGTAATTATACAATTGAGCAAATGCATCTGCATAAAAATGTTAAATGTGCAGCCATTTATTTAATTAAGAGAAAAACAGAGGCAACTTAACGCCCATCAAGAAGAAATTTGATAAATTGTTGCACAAGAATACATAGGTTTTCCTCCATATCCATTGGTCCCACATTCCTAAATTCAAACAACTGCAGATTGAAAATCTTTTTGTTAATTGTATCTGTTCTGAATATGTACAGACTCCTGTAGTTTCTTAAACAATACAGTATAATAGCTATTCACATAGTATTTACTTTATACTGGGAATTATAGATAATCTAGAGATGACTTAAAGTATAAGAGAGGATTGCATAGGTTATATGCAAATACTACAATATTTCATGTAAGACATTCAAGCACCCGTCGATTTGGTATGGGAAGAGGGTAGTTTGGGACTCAGTAACCCATGGATACAGAGAAATGACTATATGTTGAAATGCATTAGAAACATAATAAAGCTCAATATTTATTATCATAGAAAAGGGGGTACATGTACATTTTACAACAGCATTTAAATTTAGTTTGCATGTATATATAGAATAATACAGGGAGATGTTTAAAAAGGGACTAATAGTTATTAGTTCCAGAATAATAGGTAATGGCATTTTTATGCTGTTACTCGGTAAACATGTATTTCTTTAAAATTGGAACATATGAAAAGTGATGAGTTCATAACCCGCTTGAATCAAACTGTGAAATATGATGTATTAAGAACTATGTAATGTTTTGAACCACCAACAATAAAAAAAAAATCCCTAAAACTCTTCAAAGCCCCTAATATAACAAACTATTACAAATCTCTTTTAAGAAAACGTTTGTTCTTCCTGAAGAAATAGTTCTGAGTCTCAGAATCTTATTATCCAACTCAATCATTTCTAAAGTTTGAGGTTTATAGTATATAGATGACTAAAAATTATAAAGAGTAAAGTGCTTCTATTTTACCCTGCCTGCCAGGAAGCTCAAAGCTGATTAAATAGTATATTAATTAACTAAGAGGCTTACAAATATAAGTAAGCCAGAGTTTCACATTCAAACCTGCTATTTTAAGAAGACTTTTGAGTCATTTTGGTGTATACCACAGATTCTGGTGGTTTGTGGATATGCTCCCCCACCCCATCCCTGCTTCCTACATAGTTTTACATTTGTCAGTGTCTGCTTAAAGATTCTTACAGTATCAGGAGATACTCAGATGCTTAAGAAAATCAATAATATACAGGTTACATTGAAATTAGTGTTTCACGCCCACTATGGAGTAGAGGCTGGAGAAGAAAAAAGAAAATCAGATTCCTCCCTTAAAAACTGTTCAAATTTCCTTTGCAGTTAGAAATGGCAATTACCCGGTGGTAGGAACAACCTTACAATTCAGAGTTATTTTATTATTAGTGAGAATATTCTAAAATAAATTCATTTTTTCCATTTAGCTCAGGGTAGACATCTGGAGCCATAAACTGCTAAATGTAAAAGACAAAGGAAGAAAGTGCAAAGTTAAAGAGTTGTAATTAAATAATGACTAGATGTTTCTCTGAAAGAAACATTTTCAGAATTGATATTTTAAAATACCTCCTTCAAAAGTGGTTAGTTGATCATCACCAGTCTTTATCATCCACCCTGAGGCATTCATGTTACCAGCTTGGGTTTCAGAATCAGGCTGAACCAGGTCAGAGGCCCACCTCCAAGTTCTCCAGTTGATCTTCCTTTCCTGAAAATCTTTTTTCTTTTTCTTACTTTTTTCTTTCTTTCTTTCTCTCTCTCTCTCTCTCTTTTTTTGTTTTTTGTACAGGATCTTGAACTCAGGGGTATTTGACCACTGAGCCACATTCCCAGCCCTATTTTGTATTTTATTTAGAGACGGGGTCTCACTGAGTTGCTTAGTGCCTTTTGTTGAGGCTGGCTTTGAACTTATGATCCTCCCTCCTCAGCTTCTCTAGCTGCTGGGATTTCAGGTGTGTGCCTTGTGCCCAG